AAAACACTTTTTAATGGTGCTGGATTTATCGGGTGTCCGAGTGGCTGAGGCAGCAATTGGATTTGCCTTTGACTTAGATACATGCTTAGGCTTACTAGGGGTTGCTGAGGGAGTCGATAGAGGCGTGTTTATACCAGGCGTGGTGGTGTGTTTAAAGAGCTCAGCATTAAAAGTAGTCGAACTCCCTACGGAATTGACTATGCCGTGATGTACGGATGCCGCAGTTGGTGTTGTAGAGGACTTATTCAGACTGACAGTAGGTGTCATTATCTTGGTGTTGGATTTTGCCGATTTTAATTTATTCAGTCTTCGCTGCAGGGATATGAGGTCTGGCGAAACGGAGCAGCGCCACTTACGGCAGAAGTCTCTAGTCATCTCCCTACTCGACAAGATAAAATCGACTTCTATCATGGAGAAAAGGGTAACTATTATCGGCACATTACGGCTAAGCGAGCGAAGTCGCTTAGCTTGTGCGACACTAAAACTCAAGCCACAACTTTGTAGGAACACATGCGCTCCCTCCATAGCAGATAAATGGTTCGGAATGTTTCGCAGTACGAAATTATGCTTGCGCTTAATTCTTTCCTCAGTTTCCGAACTTATTACCCCAATAAGTTTAAAAGCTTGTACAAGCACTTTTTCAGAAGTGCTGTTTATGTCTCCATAAATCAGCCGATCGATTATTTCGCAGGCTGATGGCCTGCTACGACTAGCAGAGGCGTATTTTTGGACGACTGAAGGGTCGAGAGGTTCTACATGTACTAAAGGGATTTGTGAGTAAATCAGATCTGCAGACGGCGAAGAACATACGCTGGCGTCTGCCATGTCTTCAGTCACGATTTTAGCACCCAGAGACGGTAGGGAGGCCGCAAGCTTTCGCCTTTTAGCACGTGCTCTGCGGGGCATTACAGACAGGAAAAGTTTTTCGTTACGGAAGAAGGATCAAAACGTTGCCAGCGTACGGAAACGCGCACTGAGTAGCAAGTATTACTGTTTTTAACTACGAAACTAGAAAGCGGTATTAGGGAAATGATTCACTACAATGGATTTTTTACAAAATACGACTATTTTGCCAGACTGTCAAACAAACTGGGAAAAAATTTTACCTTATATAGAAAGGCGACTTTTAAAACGGACTCAAGTAAAAAACAGGCATTAATTACTTAAGAATATCCAGATAAATGCAGAGCTTCACTTATCTTTGAAATTGAGCTGCGCGC